AAGCAAGAGAGGAGAGAGTGTGGTGCGTGTGTGTGTGTGTGTGTGTGTGTGTCTTGCCTTAGAAGTAAGCCCTCACAACGCCTACAATCCCGTCTACAGTTGGTTGACTGACTCAGGCGGTCGACTACTCCAAGGGAAAAGAAAGAGGAAGGGAGATCGGCACTGGTAGACCCCACCCCATATTAAATCTGTGCATTCCTCATAATAAATAAATCTGCTACGCTTCAGCCCCTAACGACTCGCTAAGGGATGTGGCTTGTAAGACTGCCAACTGTTAGGATACCTCGGTCCTTCTCAGGCCTGAGAGTCAGGCTCATATGGTTCCTTCCGTTAGTTGACCTTTATGGCAAACTCAAACATGTGAGACCCACGTCGACCTTTGTGGCGTCTGGTACGTATAGTGGAGACCAGACCCTGTCAGACATGCGTAGACGGGCTGTTAAGTTTCGTCGGTCATTGCGCCCAAGTCCGCTTCGGCCACAAAATTAATGAGGGAGGAGCTAGTGTGCTGCACTCACTCTGTTGTGCACGCGGTGAACTTCATCGTTCGCAACAGCGATCGAACTGTCGTGTGTGTGGGGTTTCTTGACCGACTTTACTTGCTCCGATGAAGGACTAGACTTAGGTCAGGTGTTCGATTAGCTAATACCAAACTCGTCGTCACACAACAACATAATTTGGATGTCCCAACATAAAAGAGTATTTAACTTGTTTTCGTCCCCGTCCCACATTCCTTTTTCAGTAACCGGACGCCTGGCCCTGTTGCATATCAATCTCCGTGAAGTGCCCCTTGATGAGGACGTCCAGTTCGAGAAGATTGCCGAACAGCTGGATGGCTATTCGGGTGCAGATATTACCAACGTCTGCAGGTCAGTAAAATTAGAGCGTTGAAGTTTGCTTTTCCCTGGAACGCGCCTATCCTGCGTCGTTTTCTCGGTTCTTTGCACAGCCGGAAATTTCGCCCTGTCTTCGTCGTTTTTTAAATATTTTCCCTCTGTATTGCCTGCCCAACTCCATTCAGAAATCATGTGGGAGATGGGCCAATGCGCAATTCTTTCTGCCCCCTGAAAAAAGGACCCGTAATGGTGCCGATTGATATTACCTGCGCTCTCATGGATCACTGGCGGACTTTTGAATCTGAACCGCCATTTTTCTCTTTGCATTGACGCCTGGTCTGTCTTCTGTCACATTTACCAGTTTTTCCCAGCTTTTATCTCAACTACAATTATCGGGTCGCCAGTATACTACGCTGGCACCTTTTTGAACGATATCAAGGCTCACGTTAATTGGACCGTGAATCGAGCCTGGATTTTGCGTGATGGCAGCAACAACTGTTTACGGCCTATTTGTCGCATTTTTACTTTTTCGGTACCCTTTTTAACGCGCGTCACGTCGCTCGGAAAACCACCGCTGTGGATGAAAATTTGCACTTTAGAATCGGCCAAAAGTCTGCGCTGCATTCCATCTCTAAACCGTTGCTTGCACTCTAGCGTGACGCCGCGTGACATTAAACTCCTTCCTTGCACAAACCTACACAGTATCAGGTCATTCTATCTTATTCAGGCTTCTGAACTTTAGAATTTGTGTCACCACCAACTGGCCGACTACATTTTATTCCGCCTGAATGTAGACTCGATATCTGTTGTCCTCATGAAGCTGGTATGGTTAGAATTGACAGAATTTCCTAGCCTCCTCCCCCCAGATCATTTAAGGAAATAAGCCTAATGGGAGTTAACGCCCTGAAAAAAAAAGAAAGTTAACACTGCCAACCCAAACAATTTGTTTTTGCACAGATTATTTTCCACTTCCGCATAGTTTCCTCATTTGTGAGCCATTATTTTTACAAAGCTCTTTAACACTTCACTGACCTATATTGACGAAAACCTAGGTCCTGCCCTAACATCCGTTTTGGCTTGTTTCTTTTTTCGAGAACTCTTAAGTCTCCGATTTTCGCCAGCTACTGCCAGATACACACCAACTCTAAAATAGTCTAGACATTTATTCGCCAAATCTTTCCACCCATTTGCTTCATCGTCCGCACCGTTGAAGCTCCTCTATTTTCTTCAACCCTCTACAATTACGGCATGAGGCCAGACGCGGTATATTAGATGGCGTTGCTCTGATGGTTCATCCTGTCCTTGATAACTCTTCAGTCCTCAGTCCTGTTTTACACAACCCTCTTCCGGAAGAATTATCTCTTGACTTCCAGATCTTTTTTCCGCGCTAGCTTGTCAATCGTAAATTACTTTTTCTGTTTTATGAACTCTAGCTTTTTCAAGGTCGCATCTTATACCCTTTTCATTCTGCCTTAATTTTTTGAGGTCATCGTACGCCTGTCCATGTGTTAGGTGTGCTGGTTATATTGTTGTTGGTCAAGACAAGATCGTTCTACAACGTCTTAGGGGAGGTTTGGGTCGTTTATCAGGATTGGCGTCGGCAAATACTCTTCTATTTTGCACTCAGCAGTCAGAGTTGTGTCTTTAACCTCCGAACCATCTCTCAATTCTTAATTATCTGTCACTCTACCCGAAAACCTAGCGTTACTCTGTCTACCAGTTTTCTTTTCTCGTCGCATACTGAATGCCTTTTCAAAAAGTTTCCTGAAAATGTACATTACAGTCAAGATTTCTGTTGCAACGTTACTCTCTCTCGGCCATTAACTTGGTATTCTCCCGTTTGTCCTTTATTGCTCTCCTGTTACTTTCCTGCCTGGTGAAAGTATGATGTATTCGTTTTAAGACGTGCGCTTTGCGTGCTTCTCTCTTCTTACTTCTTGCCAATCTTTATCGCAGTACGATCAGACACTGCTAATTAAAGTGTTGTAGCCTTGATCACCCCTGCATCCTTCACTAATTGTTGCGAGATTATTTCGCGCAGTGCACTGTGGCTCTTATCATATCTTCGATCCTTCGTCAATTAGCTATGATGTCATTGCCACAATTGCTAACACGCTATGAAGACGGAAATTAGTGAACCTGAATTAGACCTGTAAGCAAAACGGTCAGACCGATTTATGTTAGGGTGTTTTTCTGTGTATGTAGTCATTTATCTCTTGCACACAATGATTGGTGAACGCCTCTACCGAAAAGTTTAATAATTAGGCCTCTCAAGCCCAACTCTGCCTTTTGCTCTTTTCTCAAAGCCTATAATTCAGCTGTCACATTTTTCCGGAAACTAAGCGTTACTCTGTCTACGAGTTCCCTTTTCTCGTCACATACTGAATGCCTTTTCAAAAAGTTTCCTGAACTTGTACATTACAATCGAGGTTTCTGTTGCTACGGTTCTCTCTCGGCTATTAATTTTTATCTTCCCTTTGTCATTTATTGCTCTCCTGTTACTTTCCTCTCTAGTGAAAGCATAATGTGTTCATTTTAAGACGTACGCCTTGCGTGCTTCTGTTTTCCTACTTCTTGCTTATCATTATTACAGTACGCTCAGACACTGCTAATTAAATTATTGTAGCCTTCACCACCTCTACATTCTTCACTAATCGTTGCGAGATCATTTCGTGCAGTGCAGTGTGGCTCTTATCACATCTTCAATCCTTCGTCAATTAGCTATGATGTCATTGCCACAATTGCTAACACGCTATGAAGACGGAACTGCGAGAACCTGAATTAGACCTGTAAGCGAAACATTCCGACCGATTTATGTTAGGGTGTTTTTCTGGGTATTTAGTCCTTTATCTCTTGGACACAATGATTGGTGAACGTCTCTGCCGACATTTTTTTGGATTCTCGATTTAAAATTCAGGCCAGTGTTGCTAGTTGTGCGTCTCCCTGAAGCGTCATTTTATCGGGTTTTCTGCCGTCTTCCGTCACCATCTTTTTTTGAATTTTGTGATACGTTACATCTGACGAGCATTGAACATTCGCTTTCCCGAAACGAATTTGGACCAAGCATAAATTCAGAGAGACGTATTGAATAGAGTCCTCATCATCATCATCTTTAAACACTATTTCCCCTTCCCTTTTCGCCTCGCTCAAGATTGCAGACTCGCTAGCTTGAATTGAGTGTCCCACTTATCGATTTTCATATTTTTATTTCAGCGTCTTAACAAGACTGATAACTCGTTCGACAAAACTTGAGTTATTCACACTTATGGTTAAATTAGACTGTGAGCACTATTATCGATTTTTGACATAGATTAACGGTCACTACACGCTCAGTTGGGCCCACGATGCCAGTAATCGATCTGTGTGATTTCAGTTACATTATGCAAATGATCACTTCGATTTCATTCCAATCATAAAATTTTGCTATTTTATGTTGAACAGATAACTCTTATGGCGCTATTTAACGCCAGGCTGTGAACACTGTTAATCGATTTTTGGGCGCTTTTAGTCTTATTCGGGGTTTTTCCGATTTATCAGGAGGCACTGGTTATTAATTTCGTTTTGCATCATTTGGCTTTTTGATCGTGGCGCCCAGTTAAAGTAGCGAGAATATCAGTACAGGCTAGCAATTTTTGCGTCATGTAGCTAATAGTGTGAAGCGAGTTAAGGCTGACCCCGTCTGTTGCATCGTGGGCATTTCAGGCGAAAAAACGACACTTTAAGTGTCCTAAGTATTTTGCAGGTTCATAAAGTGGCAGTGGCTTTTAGTTAAAGAAGGCACGCACTCTGAATAATATCCCTTCCTAGAACGCAGCCGTGCAAATTTTATTAAACATCTTTATCACTCTCTACCCTTTTTACGTTTACGGCTTTTTGGGTTTCACCACCACCAAAAGCTAATGGTTTTCACTGTTTCTACGAGATCGCTCATCTGCTCACAACCTAGAAGTTAGCTTCTGAAGGTTTCCCTAAGAAAGTCTTTTTCTTGTACGCCTTTTGCGACTCCTATTTTGGTGTATATTTTTAGTTTGAGACCCGTAGTTTTATTTTATCTGCTTGCAGTGTATGGCAGGTGTTCAACTAGGCAAATTCAACTGATTGACAACCCTGCTCACTAAGCACTGTTCCAGTTGTTCTCCGTTTAGGCACGATGTTACCCCCTAAAATCCCCCTCGCCCTGAGTCAACTACCTGAACGTTAGCTATCTCGTGAAATCGTCGGCCAGATCTACCTGTCTGGGTTGAAGTTTTTGAAGCTTGCTACGTAGGCAGTCCCGTGGCTGAGATTTCTGTCTAGGTGGATGCAGATAGAAGAAAAGGAGGACTTAATCACTTTCTTTTGTTGGCTAGTCTTGATATCTATGCATCTACACCTAGTGTAGTTTCCTCTGAATCAACAGCGGCGAGGGTGAAGGAAGTAGTTGGATGATAACTTTCGTGACACGCAAATGCCAACATTTTCGTTCTTTGTCCAGTCCGTTCCCGGTATCTTGATGAAAACTGCCTCGTCGAACGAATATTCACCTGTTAAAAGATTGCCAAGATGGATTTCGTGTGACATTCACGACACATCAAGAGCCAAAAGAATCTGGAACTGATTGGAGGAGAACGTTTGCGTTCCACGAATTTGCATGGGTAAGGAAGAAGGCTGATCGTGCACCGGATCGGTTTGTTTATTATCCTGAGCTTTAGAACTCTTACAAGAGTCCATCGTCAGAGATAAGAAACAGCAACAAAAGAGGGGCTAGTTATAGT